AGTTCCAGAAACGTTGCGTCATAGTAGTCACGTGACTCGCTGACGCAACAATACTTACTTTCTTCCTTATAATTTTCTTTCATAAAAGATAAATATTAACATGTTAAAGAATATCATTTTGTTTTGTGGAATTGTTTTCGGAATCCTATAAAACAGTCATTAGTTTTTCTAAATTAATTGATTAAATTCATGACGAATCAGATTTAAGAATCTATAGACTAATCACGAAGTTATTAATACTCTATTTGTTTGATTTCACAGTACCTAACTAAGCATAAAATGAGGCTTTTGTTTGTTTGTTTCCAGATTTTACCAGCAAAGCTACACAAAAGCTATGTGCGCAAAGCATTCCCTAAGTTTGAACTGATAGACTAAATAGAAGCTAGCTAGTCAACAGCGTCCTCCGCCAACTCTTGCCTGGTTTAATGGTGTGGAGAGCGATCTTTTTCGGCAACAGGACCTGAAACTTTAGATTCACACTAGTCATTAGGCTTAACTAGTAATATGTGTGTAATATGGCATTTTTATCACACAGATACTACTAATAAAATATGATGTCCCGCCAGCTAAGACGTTGTATATTATATATTGAGACTGTTTTGTGGGAAAATCAAGCAATTCTTATAATTCTTACGCACTTTGAAATATCTGTAGTCAGTGTTGAAATCAGGGGGTGTACAGGGGTATTTTCCCTGTGCAAAAATCTGTCTGTAGTAATCACGATCTAAAAAAAAAAAAATCAACAGATATCTTTACCTTCACTAAACTTAAGTTAAGTAATCGCACATAAGTACTTTCTACACACAAAGAAGTGACACATTTTGGTGAGAATTCAGCAAAATTAGAAAAATACAAGGAATAGGTTTCCTCTTACCTATTAAGTAATATAGATATATTAGTACTTAACTTTTAGGTACGGCATCAAAAGGTCTAGTCATTGACTAACCAGAAGATTTTCGATTTATCAAGTTAGAATTAACATAAGCGTACTTTATTAGAATACCATTAGAATTGACCTAAGTTAATTAGATTTTAAAACACTGTGTAATTGTGTTAAAATAAAAGTAACTTAAGTTTTTAAACAATAGGGCCGTATGTCTCATATTTAGCTTTGAGACGAAAATAGCTACCATTATTCAAGAACGAGTAGAGGAGGGGGAGTAGCTAGGTGGGCTCAAGCCCCTTGCCTTCCTGCTTTTATGTCCTAAAAGTGCCCTTTTTCTCTGTTATAAACATTGTTTACAACTACGAAAAGATACACATGATTTATATACCTTGCTTGTTGCAAATGATTAGGGGAAAAAAAAGGATTTCAGCTTTAAACTAAATGGAACACGGGGGCTTGTAGGGCTTTGTAATATGCTATGATAATTGTAATATGCTATTAAGTGTTAATACGCAAAAATGCAGTTTTAGATCATAAAAGCGTTTATAGGACGAAATGAATAGGAATAAAAGAAGATCTGTTTGTACCTTATGTATTTCTATTCTATGTGTACTATGGGCAACCCACAGTTCCTATAGTCTCCTCTAACACTCTCTAAAAAAAGGCTTGTCTTGCAGTATTCTTTTTTGCTAATGAACCCCTGCCCATTTATTGTACTCTGCACATTAATGCCATTATTTTAACTTCAACTTTAAACTTAAACTGTTAAAGTGAGTTTAAGCAAAATTAAGGTTTTTTTTTCTCTTGTTAGTCTTAAGAGTCCACAGTTAAAAACTGATTAATATACTAATAAGTACTATTAAAGTATTAAACTAACAACAGTAAAATGTGCTAGCCTATCTGAATTAAGTAGTGAAGCTATAATTTCTTTGCTGAAATATACTAAACATTCGATCTAAATCTGTTAAGAATAACTGCATGCACAATGCAACGTAACTTAACACTAACATATGATAACCTTACATTACAATAAGGGACTGAATAAGGAATGTAGCGTTGAAAGATATGGTAGGCCAAATGCTAATATCTTATGACGAGTATAATCAAATATAACCTTAATTGTTGGACCTAACGATAAATGGTAAGCCTAAACCTTACGTTATGCGATTATACTTATAGGCTATGGTTTTAGGGTTTAATTTAATATTTGTACATGTTTGTGAAATCAATACTTTTAGACACTAAAAGAATTATATATATACAAAAGTTTGACGTGTCACAAAAACAAGAATTCTAAACTATAGTATTAGGATTTTTTAATACACACACACACATAAACAAAACAACCGTTAAAGATCAACGTTTCGGATATAGCGTATTCCCTTCTTCAGAACCATAACCTAATATGGATTTATATTTAATAGTAACTAAGATAACCCAACATCCATCCCTCAATTAGGCCTTACAACATCCTTGAACGATTATGAGGTAGCCTAACGACGTTAGGCTTCATTATTTTATGCATAAAATATTGAAATAAAAATAGACATAAGTAGAAGTATTTAGCAACGATAAGCGGATTGATTTGCACAAGACATGTGTCTCATTATCAAAAATATATATATATTAGTAGTACCACTTTTATCACTACTTATTACTATGAGTTGAAAAGTTAATGGTAGAGTCTTAATATTAATACTACTAATAGACGATATCACAATTTTGGCAGCCACTTTAACTTTAGATCAAGAGTTCTGACGTAACTTAGTATATCTAGAATTGCACAAAAACTTAAACGTTTTGTAGTGTAGCTTGTATTAAAAGTATATACACTTTGAATTGTATTAATATATTTTTAGTTGCGGCATGGTGGCTCATTGAATGGTTCTGAGTTTTTTTCAAGTACAACTTTTAGCTCATAGCTCAGTCATATTTGGTCGATTTGATACCTAATAAGAGAGAATCCTCAATAGCCGTGGCATTTGAAATTCTTTTAGGCAGGATTAGAGCAAGTTAATCTTTGACACCTCGGGCGTGATCAAATGTACCAATCGAAAGGGATTCACCTCTGAGTCCAAAACTGTCATTAGATCTCAAATCGGTCAAGAGATGACGGAGCTAAACTTTTGTACTTGAAAAAGACAAAACAAATTCAGAGCCATTCTGTGGACCGCTATGACTAAAGTCTCATAGATTAATATACTCTAATTCTGCTTAAAATAATTTCAATTTGAGGGTAGGCTGGTAGAGATCTTGATAAGTAATAAAATCGAATTTGGTATGCGCGCGCCCCATGCTTGGTATTGCTGGCAAAAATAAAGGGGGGGGAAGTCTCATAGATTAATTATTTCTAATCCTGCCTAAAAGAATTTCAAAGTGTCGCGACTATTGAGAGTTCTCTTTTGTTAATTATTACAATACATACGTACTACATATAAACTTCAGTGCTGCAGTGATGAAGAACATATCCTGATATAATTACAGTACGTAACTCATTCCCGATGATAAAGCTTGTAGTAATTTTGTTTTAGTGGAACGCTCTTGAAGAAGCTGTAATTGTAAAGCGAGACGTTGAGTGTCTAATAAAATAAAAAAATATAAACATATAGCATTATAAAGTCGTTGATTACTGGTATAAAAATTTCTTTTATACTCCGATGGCCAATACAGAATTTAAATTGTAAGTTGTGCTTGTTAGTTCGCTAACTTAGACCGTTTAACCATTTAAGTGCAAAGTATTGTCGAAACAAAGTAAACAAAGCCAATAGCGAACTTTAGTAATATGAAAAACGATCAACCAACAACCTGCAGCAACAAATCAAAATAACAAGTGTTATTGATTAAAATTAAAATTGTTAAGCAGAAAATTAAAAATATATATACATACAATTAAGTGAAACAATAGTAACTTACATCACAAATGAAAAGTGATATCAACCGAATAATAATAATACAGAAT